GTAGTTGAGAGTCTGGTTACCTTTCCCCAGTATAATGATTTATTACTTTAAAGGGGTTATTCTTCATTTTAAATGTCTTAATTGCTTGAACATTCTAAGACCCATTCAATTCTTTATGAGAGAGGTGTCATCATTTTAGGATAATTTCTTTCTTCCTAACCAGGAGCATAATATTCTAGACTCAAGAGTGATCCTTAATTATCTAGTGATTAGTTCACCTCTTTACCATAGCTAAGTGAATAAAAGCTCAGAAGGAACACATTCATGTGGTTAAGTAGTGGCAAGTGTTCATTAGGACTGCTAGATCACGAGCTTTACACAATAGACATATGAGATGTTAATATCTACTTGCAGGAGTACAAACATTTATATCTACATAGAGAATTTTTAGATTTAAAACTGAAGGTCAGTCATTACAGCCAAGGTTCCTTCCAGTTTGAGGTGCCACTATGCTAAGAACAGGAAACCCTGCTCAGTTCTAACCTTCAACCTCATTCTGACCTCTTCCATTTATGAGCCAAGTGATGACTGCAGCTTCATGTGGCAGTGTACCACTCTGAGGAGGTTCATCTTCTGAGACACTGTGATACTTTGGTTAGGAAACAAAGATAGGGACTGGATTCAATCAGAGGTGAGGGTCCAGGCAACTACCTGGAAAAATAGGGAACAGGGCTCAGGACAAAATTCTGAAGTCACAGGAGTTATTGGAGGTGGTAAGTGCTTGGTCTAGACACTTCCACTTTTTCTGAAAAAGGACTGTCAATGACTTAAGAGTTATTCTAAAGAGTTATACCATCTCTCAGCTATTAAGGAATAATACACTCAAGAGAAAGATGACGCAAGATAATCAAGTGTACTTTGGAGTTGAGGGTAAAGAGGAGGCTATAGGCCAGCACAAAAATGAGTATGAAAAAGTGCTCATACCCTTCGTACAAGTAATTTCATTTCCAGGAATTGCTCTAGTGAAGTTAGAACTGAGACCAGATCTAGTGCCTGACTCCCTCTATAACTTCACCTGACCATTGTCTCCCACAATAATCAGGTGAATATATTTTCTTTTATTGCCTTGAATTTTGTGCCTTGGGGCAGCTACCCCTCTACTCTACTCACCACATACTATGTCAGGAACTACCTGTGGGCAAACTAGTAAGTGATAAGTTTAGCCCGAGGAAATAATGATCTTCATTCACGAGATGTGAGAACTAAAAACATACCATGACTTGGCAATTAGGATCAGATGTAGGTCATTTGGCCACAAACCTTCACCTTGAAGAAGGTGCTCACCAGTCTTTGATTATCCATCTTCTACATAAATGGCCTCCTAAATAAGCTTCCTTGCAAGATGGTTCTTTAGGGAAAAGCATCCTTTCCATCTTCCCATCAGCCGGCTTATTAAATAAAGTTCTTTCTCTGCCACTGCCTTGCCTCTTGACTGAGTGGATTTCATAGTTCTGTGAACAGAGTGAGACTTTTGTGCAGCAACTTTAGGATGAGTTATGAACAGTTTTATAATCAAACATCGAAATGTATATAATACTAGTATTTCAGATAATCCGTCTGTACATTTGAACAATAGAGCTTTATATATACATTAAACATTTATGGACCATTTCATGATATAGTGAAGTTTATAGTGAGTACACATGAAACAAAACTACTAAAGACAGTATTCTTCCCTAAGTTGTTATATATCCAGCAAATGAACAATAACAGCAAAAAAGAAGAAGGAAATAGTCACTAATATGTCAGTTTGTTTCCTGATGGTAGAAATTGGGAGACCAAATTTTAACTACATATTTGTTTTTGTTTCCTACAACTGACAAAAAAAAATTTCCTCCAAATCTTAGCTAGTAATCTTCATGGAACTGTAGAGTATGGACTGTCAAAATAATTTCTCCTTGTTTTTTGACAAGCAACAGAGATAGCCTCTTACAACCTGTGCAGTAATGCATTTTCCTCATGAGTTTACACCTGCTTTCTGATACATCTGGAAGAGAGTCATTCTTTTTTACTGAAAGCAAGGGCAGGACTAGATTAATGAGATTATGTCTTATGCAAGACCACTTGTTAATTGGCATATAGTAAGGTATGTTGAAAAAATGCATTCTAACCTTTGTGTACTCTTTTCAAAAGCACACACTGAGGTGATTACTTTTGTGGCTACTAACCTTATCAGCCATAACTGCAGCTTCATGTAGTGGGTTGTGAATAATCTGTTCATGTGTACACAATCATGTTAGCTCTTTCCTCTTTACAGAAGTAACACATTAACATCCCAGAAGATCGACAACTAATTGGAAAAATGTGCTCCATGAGTTCTGAAGCTTCAAGGTTTTTGTTTTGTTTTGGCAAGAACTTTTCCAAAACGCAAAACAAAAAACACATTTCACACTGAACATGAAGTTTTCATAGATGACAGTCATGATCAATGTGCAAATGATATGGAATAAAGGAAGTACCATGGCACAACCTTTGGGAACTTTTCTTAAATTATTTCATCTTCCTGCTTTTGGGCCCATTGACTGATTCCTAGAGGCAGCATGAAACATTATTAGCCTAATGACCTTCAGTTCAGGGACTGTCTTCTTCTAAGCTTAGCTGTTAAAGGTAGAAGCCAATTGCTTCTGAGTTGTTATCTTCACCTGCCTAAAAACAGACAGGTCTCTTCAGAGTCTGACTTGGCAGTAGTCAAGACATCATTTGTCTCTGAGACAATGGATCAAAAGGTGTCTGTTTGCTAACTCATGTCCTTTACCTTATTTGCAATATGCTTATTCATGGAGAAGGAAAACAAAATAACAACGAAATGGTTCTTTGGCAGTTTGAATTATTTTTGCTAGTTTGAAAGACTTTCAATTTTTGTAATTAGTTTCAACCATTGTGACGAAGACAAAATTTATGCAAGTCTATCACCTCCAGAATCGCATAAAAATCTCTTCTAAACCCACAAGTTTGAATTAATGAAATGCCAAGTCAAATCAAAATTGGATATCATGGTTTAACAATTATGACTTGTTAGCCCCCCGAGTAGGAAAAAAACTCACTGAAATTTCTTCTGAGGTATATTACTTACACATAACAATTGCCTACAAATCGGATCAACAAAGTCAAGGCTGCACAACCATGAGTATTCATAGTCCATTAGTTACTTCAAAATCCCTCAGGCAAAGGAATCGTCATTTTGCAGCTGAGGAAACAGTTTTATGGAGATCAGGTAGTACACCCCAAATCACATGGTTCACCAACCTGAATCAGTCTAAAGAACTGCAAGCTCTTTCTGATTAAGTGAATTCCATGGTTGTAACAGAATTGTTCTGGCAGCCCCAGGCAAACTTGTTTGGAAATTTGTTACTTCAGGACACCAAAAAGGAAAGTGTCAAATTGCTAGAGTGGGGTGAGGATAAAAATCCAACCCTAACACATTTGTACAGTCAGGTAGTCGCTTCAGAAATATTTCAGTTGAAAAACTTTGCTGTGCAAGCTTTAATTATTAATACAGGTGGGATCAATCCCCTCACCTTGCGTTTTCCTAAGACTTGGGGGACATTTAAATCACAAGAGCCTAATGAGATAAATGTGCCTTGCAGAAAATAAAAACAAATGTATTTTTTTGTGACGTGGTCTCCCAAATCTTACTATCCAGAAAAAAAAAAAAAACAACAACATAAAGTAACTATTTCCACCTACTTTTTTTTTGTTCATTTGTTTGATTTATAACAACTTAGGGAAGAATAGTCTATTAAACGTATCATGAAACTTCATAAACTTTTGTTTTAGTTGTTGATAGACCTTAGACCTTTACTTTATTTATAGGCGTTGCTGAGAATCCAACCCAGTGCTGCACACATGCCAGGCAAGCGCTCTACCACTGAGCCCCAGCCCCAGGCGGCGGCTGCAACAGCTATTTTCCACCTTCATAAATAAAATTTCAGTGGCAATATAAAGCTTTATTTTTTTAAATGTACTGTTAACAAATCCTCTGAATATTGCTATTATAAATACTGCAGTAAATGTTCACTTGCTCAATTCAGGCTCTTCGTCCACTTCAGTTAATGCACCATTGAAATCCCAATACCCATTTCCAAGCTATTTACCAGGAAACGCCGTTAAGTCTCAAGTACTTCTGCTTATAGATAATTTTGCCTCTTCAACTGAGATAGGATCACAAATATTGTATTACTTTGGTCCTTCCAAAGAGCTGCTTATTCTATTACTCATTTAATCCAGGGGCATTGAATTTATGCTCAATGTAACTGGACTAAAAGCATGCAAAGAATTGATCAACCTCTCCTTTCTGGGCGTTTGGGGAGCACACTTTCCCAAGGAAAGCGATTTCTCCAGGGTTTCCCTTGGCCTTGCAACTGGGTTATCCTGGGCTGCGCGGGGGGGCCCTGTGCGGATCCGCAGGGACAACAGGCTGCAATTGCCTGCCTTAGCAGTTTCATCAGATTATTGTGTGGAGACTCTTTCTGACCCCAGATAGTGTTTAAGGTGCCTGTTCAGAGAGCACCCTTCTAAACATTACGCTGGTGGTGCAGTCTGGAGGCCACAGAGATCTTAGAAAAGCACTTGGGGGCAGAGACAGCAAGTCTCTGGTAACCACGTCTCCCACGCACAGCGTTTGCTTCCTACTGGAGGTGGGCGGGGACACGAGGCTGTCTAGTCCTGGGGCTTGGAGCTGTACTCCGCGTGCCCCAACTGAAAGGCTGAGGAGACACGCAGAACTCAGGCGGCGGCCGCAGCAGCTATTTTCCGCTCTCCAGTCTCGCTCTTCCGCCTGCACCGCCCTCGCCCCCGCCCCTGCCCCTCCCCCAGCACACAGGAACCTGCGCCCTGGTCGCTCCCGCGCTTCTCTTCTGTCGCCCGCAGAGGCCTGCCTTTTATAGGCGCCGCAGCCAATGAGCGCTCTCCTTTCTTTGTGCCCGCCCTCCCGGCCAATCGCCGCGCCCCTTGTGTAATCTTCGGCTTCTCGGCCGCTCTCGGATATTTTCGCTGTTGCTGGCTTTTTCAGGAGCTGCTCGCTTGCAGCCAGAGACGCTGCTTTTTTTTTCCGGGTTCGGAGCCGTTCCGGATGCTTTAGGCTGCCGGATGTCTGATCTCCGGATAACTGAGGCGTTTCTGTACATGGATTATCTGGTAGGTGCGGGCCAGGGGTGGCTTGTCGCTTCCCGGGTCGCACAGTGTCCGATGGCTCCTCGCCTATAGGAGCAGCCTTTTTGCTTTCTTTCTTTGGGATGGGATGCCTTTGGGGTTCTTTTCCCCGCAGCCGGTTCTGAAGCTGGGACTTGGAGGGACAGCAGCCAGGAGGTTGGGTGGTGGGGCTGACAGGTAAAGGTGTGGCGGGGTCTAGTGGGGCTGCTGGGCTAGGGTCGCACGGGGCTGCCTGAGCGATGGGGCCGTGACGGCGGTGGGGCGTCCTTTACCATCGGTCGGTTTCCTAGCTTCGCTCTGCGCTCCCCTTGGCGGACTTTCGGGGGAAGCTGGAGTTTTCCGCTCTCCCTTTGCAGAACTCCAGGTGCTATTAAAGAGCCATAACCAGAATGGCTCACTAAGTGCCCGGCAGCTCCGGTCATTTGGTTGCTATTAGATCTCTAAAGCAATGACCTCGGTCGCGGCGGGATTTTAAATACACATTACCATAAAGTAGTCAGGAGTGAACTACATTGCAACCTGGCTAGAGCAGGATTGGGTAGGAGCATTGCCGCATGGGTCCGGTGGTGCAAGCCGGTTTCCCAGTGCACGGATTGAAACCCAGCTGCCTTTTAGGCCAGACTTGAGAAGTTTAGGTGGGAAGTGTCAGCCAGATGTGGAGACTGAACGTTATGGTAAAAATTGACTCGTGTGTGTGTGTGTTTGTGGAATTATGCAAGCACCGGGTTTTGTACCAGAAATTATATTTCCCCAGAGCTGCCCGTTTGTGGTCAAGTGGATTCTCATTTACATGAGCTGTGTTCGATCCTTTACAATTACTGTGTTTAGGTGATAGACGGAACCGCTATTGCCCTGCCAGCTGAAGTAGACTTTAGAAACATTGACCCTCCTGTCATTTTGCTGGACACATGCACTCTCGGTTTTCTACTGCAGATTGACCTGGCAGAGATTTGCCTGCCAGTGCCTTCTAGGAATTACACTTAAGGGTGTACTGAGAAAGACTGAATGCTTTTGTGATCAAGAAATGCTGGGCAAGGGCTGTTTCCTACTTATCTGTGTATTTGGGCTTTTTTTTTTTTCTTCTTCTAGTGTTTCTCCTCAAGCTGCATAGCTTGATGAACTTGTGGGGAAGGATGGTGACTGCAGCTAAGGCATGACCTTGTGAATGGAGCTGAGTAAAAAAATTCTGAGTTTAAATTCTGTTCTGTGGTTCATTTATTGATGGTAGTAACTTCCACTACCTTGGTGATAAAGGGATGTTATCAACCATAACTGGCTAAGTGGGTTATCTGATTATGAACATTCTTTTAAAATACAAGGTGCCCTAATGGTTAAGAGATTGCCAAATGCAACCTACACAATTATTTTCTGGTTAAATGATTAATTTGCAGCTTGTCTTAAACTGTACTATGATTATTCCTTGCAGTATGCCCAAATAAAAGTCAAACTTTGTTGAGGATAATTACCAAATAGGAAAGGGTGATATTATCTATACTACTGACAAATAATTTTGAATAATTAGTGCTAAAAGGGATTCAGGTGGTTCTGATCATTTTATTTACCGAATGTGTTTTGAATTTACAAATTGCATCACAGAGCTGTCTTTAAGGTGCCAAGCCTAACAAGCATTTAGTGAAAACTGTGTTGAAAAGTCTGGTTACTCAAGTAAACCTCCAACTAGACTTGGTCTGAGGGAAAGTGGATGAATATTTGTGGGTGAAATTAGCCTAAAAGTGGATTAATTCTTTGCCAGTTTACTAAAACTTTGTGTCCAAATCAATGGCTCCAATTTTGACTTGATGTATTTTACCTGTGGTGCCACCCTAGTTTTGCTTTCATTTAAAAATTTATTTTGTCACTTTCACCTGCTTTCAAAAATAAACAGGGGCAGTGAAACAGTCCCAGGAAAATCAACTGCTCTTTAGAAGTGAGAAGAAATATTAAAGGAAATAAAGGAAATAGTTCAGTTTTTATGAGTGTGCCAGGCATTCCCTGAAAAAAAATTTAAGAAAATCCTTCACCAGTAAGTGAATCGGAGGTGCAAAATAAAACAAAAACAAAACAATAACAACAAAACCAAAAATCTTACAACAAAAACCAGCCCTCCTGAGGTGGTTTTATTGTTGTTTACTTTTTTGCTTGTCAACTTTCAGAGAGAATGATGTTGCATATCACTCCTTCCTGCTTATGCATAATTTTGTATGGTGTTCATTAAAAGCCCTATTTCTGAAAAATAAAACTCTATTTCTTTGACTGCATTTGGGATCTTATTTGTAAAGTAAATCAATTCCAGGTTCTTTTACTTCCAGGAAAAAAAAAAAAAAAAGTTCTTTCATTCCAAGGTGGACTCCATGTTTTACTGAGTGGACTAGAGTAAGTGCCCTTACCATGCATCTGACAGGTAGGATGGTGTATGTCTTTTCTCTTTAACCAGTATTCCATTTTCTTGTTGCTTTGGGGAGTGCTGTGTGTGTATTGTCCATTTTTGTTTGGGCAGGGTGTCATCACTTAACCTTTCTTATTTGGAGGAGAGTGGAAAGGAAGAGAAAGGTAGAGGTACTATTTTTAGCAGCTTTTAATAGGATTGAGTTAGTAAAACAAATGAAGGATCTCTCTGATCTTAGAGGTTGCTGTTGATTTCTTAAAGGTTTTCAGAGATGACGGTCAAGGTCAGTTGACAGAACCATAACATTTAAGATGAGGTTTTATTGACTTAAGGGAAATAGTGGTAACTTGCAAATCCTAAATAATTATATGTATCAGCTGGTGCAATGCCTGGCATGTAGTTAGAGCTGATATTTATTTGTTGAATGGAATGAGTGTGAGATGGGAGGGGCAGTTCTACTTTCCTCATCTGCTTCTAAACAGAGGCAAGATATTATCTTGTTTGGATTAGGTATGTTGTTCTGGGGAATGCAGAATGTATCCTTTACACTTACCTTTATCAAGATACACTTTGTAAGTCTTGGGTTGGCAATTTAAGCATAAAAATCTGTTTTCCCGCTGGCACAGGCCTCTTCCTAGGAGGCCACATGCCTTTCCCGCTTTTCCTAGTTGGAGTTTACAGGCCATGTTCACACCTGTCATGTCGTTGGGTAAAAATTTGGCCTTTGTCCCAGCAGGCAGTACCAGCATCTCTGTCTCTCTTTCTCTTGCACTCTCTCTGCCTCCATTTGGACAGGTGTAAGACAATGAGCAGAGCTTTTTGGATGGAGAAGCACAAAAACATTTACCAGATTTTGGGGGGAGGTTGGACCTGAACTTCTAGATTCTCCCAGTCCAAAGTTTTCTTTTTGTCTTGACTCATATGTTGACTGGGATTTGACCCTTTTCCCCATAGTGCCCTCAAAACAGCAACAATAAAATTGGTTATGTTCCATATAGAGCCAGGGATGATTAAATGGGATAATGGAGAAAATGTTATCAAAAACCAGCCCATTGCTTTGCAAATGTAAAGTGTTAGTGTATTGTGATTATTGTGATTGTGTTACTGATATCACAATTCTTGTGGAATGACTACCTAGTGATAAGTATTGAATTGCCTTTTAGATTAGTCTCAATATATGGAAAAATTGGGAGTGGTAATCAGCATGCAGGAAGTCACAAAAATCTTTGAGGATTATTTAATACCTATAAAATAAAATCCACATTCTGATATTCTCACGAACACAGTCAACAAATATTTATGGAACTTATTTTGTGCATGATCCTGAAAGTCATAAGGGGTGAGTTTTGATGTTCCCTTTGGTGGCAGGACTGTTAGGTATGTGACTCTTGGGGACCATTTGGCTGGACAGGATGAAGAAGGCATATAAGGAAAGAGGCGACTTTTGATGTGCTTCTTTGCTTTCTAATTTGTTTCTCTCATGTATTTCTTTTTTTATTGCAAACTATAATGTGAAATAAAACTTGCAATTGTGACAAGTAAAAACGCTTGATTAATCTGGGCTGCTAAGTCAGTTAATGTTCATTGCATCTGCATATTGTTTTTGGGATTTACTGTGGTTAATTTAATGAGATTTCATCTTTGTATTGACTGGTGAAGTTGGCCTCGTTTCTTTGTCACAGCTTGTATTTGCCATGATAAAAATTTGTGTGTCAGTGGGGAAGATCTGGTAAGAGACTTGGGTGGATCATCATAAATCCATCACTGTAGACAGGATAAAAACCAGTTAAGCAACCAACCAAGACAGAAACTCATGATATGCTACAAAGGGCAGAGTCCATAGGTACTAGCTAAGACGGTTTAAAGGGGCCCATTTGAAAAAAGGATTGAGGGCACATTTGTGATTTTATGTGATGTTCAGTTACCTATGAACTGAAGTTCTTTATTGATAAAGTGTGCTGTTTTTAACTCGAGTGACTGTGAACATTAAAAAATTGTATTTATTATGACTGACTGTAAAGTAATATAGGTCTGGACTGGGGTGTGGCTCAGTGGTAGAGAACTTGCTAGCATGTGTGAGGCATTGAGTTCGATTCTCAGCACCACATATCAATAAGTAAAATAAAGGTCCATCAACAATATCAACAACAAAATAAAAAAGTAATATAGGTCAAACATTTTTTAGTCTTAACATCAACTGGATTGTGCAAGTCACATTATTCTTCCTTTATTAGTAACTTATAAGATATGAATGTGATAAACAAAGACCTACCACCTGTGAACCACACAGAAGTTTTAAGAAAATCCATGCTATTAGGTGTTTGAGATTAGGTGGGAACTTTACTACAAAGTTATTAAGTCTGGCTCCTGAGCTTCCATTGCTCCAGTAGTATAGTATGAGACTGAGGAGGGGACACACAGGGACTGACTTGTGTCCTCTAGGAGCTTACATTCTGAAGGATACCCAGCCACATGCCGGTTGGCATATGGACAGGGAAGGGGAAGAGGAAGGGTTAAGTTTATGTATTATAATTTGGTGCCTTGCTGTGGTAATGTGGAGAGGTGGGACTTGAAAGAGGCAGGGCCTATTGGAGGCTCT